GACACAACTGCAAAAATGAAAACAAAATCTATTAATTTACATATAATCATGTCCATATTCTCTTGACTTCATTATTATATAATTGAACTGTTTTATACTGCACTGCAAATATAAAGGGCTGGGATAATACACTTTCGTCTACTATTCTATATCTAAATAAATATACTATATTAGGTATCACAATATTTATGCTACAATACAGATCACAATATTTTTAATTGGTTATAATTTTTTCATTTTATATTAAAATGAGACAAAGTTTGACACCATGCATATCCAAAGTCTCTAAAAATTTACAATTTTAGTCATGTATATGTGTTATGCAAGGGTGTATCTGTCAGTATTTCCAAAATTTATCAAGCATGACATTTAAATTGACACAAATATTTTGATTTCAGCTTTTCTTTTTCATGAAGTTCGACTTAAATATTCTTTGATAATTTTTAAATCAAAATAAAATCAAAAACTTTTAATTTCTTCATTTTATTTGCTTGGAAAATAATTATTTTTTTCTTTTGTATTTGTACGAGTATTTAGTTTCAAACTAGTTCTACATGTATATTAGCTAATCAGTGAAAATCTATATGTTTGATTTACTTCAGTTTACATGCCTGTGTGTGCATTATATTACAAATCATGGGATCTGTGCTTGTAGGTGCACTCAATGTTTTAAAGTTATTCATAATTTGAGAATTATTGTCTCTTTTTTTTATTGTCAGTATATTTAAACCAATATTTTTTGGTTTTACAAAATAATATGAATTTTCTTTTTTTAAAAGAGATGATGCGAATTATAATTTCAATTTTAATTTTGTTTATATATTGTTGCTGTGATCTCAATAACCTAGATAGAACGTTCTAATCATTAAAATGATATTGTCCTACGGACCTGGTTTAACGATAGAATTTGTTCCGTGTATTGGCAATGTAGCAAAATAAGCAAGTTCGATAACTCGAACTGACTGCATTTTCTATGTACAATCCAGAGAGTTCCGAATTCAACATGGCGTGTTAATTTGAAGTGAGGAAAAAAGGTTGAGAAAATGAGTTGAATTTTCTTATTTATATGGATTATTTTTTAGGTTAAAAGGCATATAAAATCTCAAAAAGGTTTGTTATTATTAATTTGATAGTTATTTTCAGTGCAATTTTTTTTGTATTCTTCAAAATCATTTCTGAGCGGATCCTTTCCAATATGCTACATTGCTAGTATATGGGACATATAAACTGTGGTGATCGAGGGCTTGTTCCGAGACACAGTTAGATTGTTCTAACTAGCAATAACCCAACACATGTATCTTGTAAGTCGAACACATGTATTTCGCAAATTCAGTAAATAATTCTAAAAAAAAGAAAAAAATCTTGTAAAAAGGTATTCCGTAGAGAAAATTACCCAGAATACGTTGTAGCATAACAAACACTGACATATACTCGAACAAAACTTAAGTATGAAAAATAATCAGATAATGGGTCAAAATCACACCAGTGACCACCTACCCTAATCAACTGTTATCCACAGAAAAAAAATTATATACTTATATGTCAATCTACTTCCAAAATTACATGTTTTCCAAGATCTTACAAAATTATTTTTACAGTATGTCTCTTCAAATATTTGTTTTCCTGCTTAATAGTACTGATCATGCTGATCAGACAATAATGGGTGGGTGATATTAAGATAGTATGCCCTCATAAACTTTTAGTCCCAGACCTATGAACCAGTGATTCATTTTGAAAATGGTTATCATGGGTCCAAAAGACCCCCCTTAATGACAACAATGAGTCCCATGACAAAATCAGTGCATCCAAATCCAAGGGTCATATATTAGATATTACAGAGGAAATTATGGTGAAATATAAAAAGTTATTGCTGTGAGTAGTTTTATAATTTTACTATCAATTGTCCAAGTAAGACTACATGATTTTGTGTCATAAATATAATATATTGTCAACTGTGCACTTTGGTTCTATTTTTAGATCGTACATATGATCTCACACATTGTAATGTATCAGTCATAAAATGCACAGAAGCAGAATGAAGCAAAGAAATTTTAAGAAGAAATGAAAAAACAGTCAGAAATAAAAATGATTAAATTTTAAACTTCTTAGCTTAATGTAAGGGAAAAAAAAATGATACAGGTTACATGTATAGCTTTTACATAGGTATAGTATTCGCTTCAGAAATGTTCCACAATATAGACATAATCAGTGATAATCGAACTATGCTATCTAACTTTCAAATATTTTCTGATAATTGCTGGTTAATTGGCTGCAATTGTGAAATCTGACCTGTTGTTGGCAACCTTATATATACCTGTTAAAATTGTTCATGCATATCGCTTAGCACATGGATATGATGCAATCAGTCAAGTTTAGAATCGGATTATACCAAATAATACACGTTCTTCTATAAATTTATTGCGTCCATTGGGATGCACATTTATTAAAATAATGCCTCCTGAGCAAAATTTGTGCATAATTTACTAGGAGTGAAACGGTTCACCGCGGTATCGATTCGCCGCGGTATTTTTTCTCGGTTTGATACACGGTGCAAAATCTCTAATTTTCGGTTCGGTACATTTTTCGGTCGGGACCGTTATTTAGTCGGGTTTGGCATAAGGTAAATCACTTTACTCAGTATAAATAAGTATAGAAAACATAAATTTTTTTATGACTGATAGCTTGTAAAATAATTTTTGACAGTCAAATAATTTTAATCAATTTCTTCTAGTCAATTTGCAAATAAAATTCGTAAAATATGTGACTAGATTTAGAAAAAGAAAGCATAAAACAACGTTGAATTTGTTTCCTTCTATCAAAATGTATAGTATCGAAAATAACCGAACTGCGAGAAAATTATACAATACGTATCGAACCGTGAAGGAGGTGTATCGTTTCACCCCTATAATTTACGCAGGACGCACACCAAAATGAATCATTGATGAACACCATATTTTTTAGCCCAACATACAAAGAACTATGTAGCAACCTATGATCTACAGCACATGTAATTTTCATAATGCTAGCTCACATCATAAGGAATACATATATGACTAGCAGTGGTTTAAGTGTTTGCTTTAGAGTCACAGATAAAGGAGTTGATCCTAACATCAGCTTTTCAATATGAGTGAAAAGTTATCGAAAGAAACATCATAGAAACAAATAAATATGACTATAAATAATTCTCTTTTCTTACCATTATGGATGTTGTACATGTCCCTTTCGATAATGAAAAAAATCTTTTTCTGTCAACTTCTCATTTTCTCACCCGCCTTTTTCTTGCTAATCTTCTCTCCAACATACTGGAGAAGGTACTCTCGCATGTTATGTGGTACCGAACACACTATAATAAAAATAAATGCATAAAGGCAAACAAGTCAACAAAATCTAATTTATTCAGAGACTTGGTTTTATATGTCTCAGACTGTCATAAATCTCACCCTAGGCATCTTCGCTAGCCAAGGGTTTCTGATACGCTACTCTCCTCATAAGTTTATGAGGAGAGTAGCGTATCAGAAACTCTTGGCTAGCGAAGATGCACCCTAGGCAGTTAAAAATTTCCTCAGAAATCTGGTCAGAATTTTAAAACATAATTTCAACAAAAAAAAAAAATCATGGGAAAATATACGGCATATAAATAGCCATTGTACAAAATGCAGGAAACTTTCCTGAAAAGTTTAGAAATTGAAACTGTAAAAATGTTATCATACCATCAATTGATCAAACCATGTCCATGCTGATCAAAAGACTCAACAATGTATTAACTAACCCGATCAAAATTAAACTGAACCCGACCGAAAGTTTCTAATCTACATATGTAGATATACAAGTAATACATGTAGACTCTGCATAACAATTTTATTAAAATAAAAAAAAAATATTGCTTGTTATATGGTTTTATAACTAAATTGAGAGTATAAGCAAGTTCATTTCTCCATGGCAACTGCATAAGATAAACAGTATCTTTTTCATTATATGTAAAAAATAAAAATTAAAAAAAAAAAAAAAAAATGCTTAAATTGATCAGGATCTGTTTCATATGAATCAGGACTTGTTCAAGCTTGACAACAAGCAATTTTTCTTCGGGTCTCTTTTATTATTTAATTTCAACTTCTTTTTGAAATTATGATTATCTTCTAATATTTCTTTTCAAAATGAAACACTCAATAGGTTTATAAATAAATGAAACATTAAAAAAAAAAACAATAAATACAGGCCCGTAAGAAAAAAAAGGTCATCAGGCGTTTTAATTGAGGGGGCACAAGTACATGTATATAGTAGCTATGTTTTCTTTAGCATTCTATATTTCGGCAAAATTATTGGGGGCACCCCCCCCCCCCTGTTCCTACGGCCATGAAATAAAGTTTTACATGATTGTTAAGTAATAAAGACAATGCAATAAATTCTGCAAAGTAATTCAAATAGTTGAGGTAATTTTTACTTATGTGTAGACTGATTTACTAGTACTTTCATAATTATAAATATATTCTCCCATAAAATTAGAATAAATTCATGATAAAGGAAATAATTTGCCTTGATCATGTTGAACATGCAATACATTTTTGAGTCATTTAAGTTGTTAAAGACAAAATTCTCATTTGCCCAATTAAATTTGAGATACATGTACATGTACTAATTAAGTGACCTGTAAAGGTACTTGTAGATCTCTAATAAAATCTGGGAAATTAAATCAGCAGTGCTGCAGATCGAAACTCTTTAACGGTGGTGATGTTAACCTGTTAACTGAGTCTACTAATATAGAAAAAATATTGCAAGAATTATACAGTATATCTTTTGTTACTCAATCATGGAAAGTGTAATACATATAACTATTAACTGATATGCTCACCTCTGATATAACCTGTTAATTAATCCTCCATTCATGCCAAAAGGTACAGTGTAACAGATTGATTAGAATATCATTGGCGTATAATAATATAATTACTTTCTACTACATGTAATGTGTCGGCTAGTGTGATGTCACAGATTTAACTTGAGGC